GCGCCGCCGCCGCCGGACACCCACTACACCCGCGCCCCCACGACGCAAGGCAGCGGCGGGCTGCCAGGTGCTTCGGGACATTCTGCGGCTGCCGTCGCGCCGTTGCGGCGCACGCGGTAAAACGTCACTGCCTTCGTCGCTCGCAGGCATCGCGGGAAGTCAGATTTTACGGTTGGAGGTGTTACTGTGGTTGCGGGGGGAAAGTCTCAACAATTGCAGGCGTCTGATGCCGGGCAGCCTTTTTTCTCTTTCCAGCGAACGGAGAGCAACGGCACGGCTTTTTTTTAGAACCCAATTCGAAGACTGGCGTTTTACGGCCACGTCGACGTGGATTCTGCAGGTTGTGCAGCCCCTTCTGGTCGCTGCGCCGGACCTTCTGCTGACCGTGCCGCGCACATGTGGCGGTGCCTCGGAGCCAACGTCTCATGAGCGGCGTGAGTGCGCTACAAGTTTTATTTTTCCGCTGGTGCAGCTTGCTGTGGACGGCTTACAGCTGCACCTGGAGCGGTTGTCCCTGGTGTTTATTGTGCAAAAATCCGGTGGGTCACGTGTTGCTTTTTTGACTGAAGGAGTTGCACGTGCGTTGTGGAGAGGAAACAGTCGTGCTGTCACCCATGAAGCTGGAAATGACGCAAGAAGATGACGTTGTGGTCTCTGCAGTGAGGTTGAACGTCTCGAATGAGCTCTGGGAATACTTATGCCACCTTCGACGTGAGTGGAGCGAGGCTCTTTTGCGGCTGCGCAAGATAACATACTCTGCAGCAAGGCTGCGGTCGGCAGCGGGTAGCGCACCGGCGAGAAAGTCGCTTGCGGAGGTGTGTGGTGTGGCCCCCTTCACGGGGGAGTGCCATTCCGCGTCAAACTCCCAACACGTGTGTGTTATGGGCGTCGGATTCACTTTTGAGCCCCTAAAGCTCGCCCTGCAGATAGGGCGTGTGGACCTGTGGTATGGAGTAGAGAAGGATGGTTTCTCCTCATTACTTGCAAATGTGTCTGCATTTGCCTTTGCAACCGATTACGTTGAGGGAGGGGTGTTGACGGCGCTACTTCCTGGCGGCATTCAGTGCTCGACGAGACGCACGGCAAATGATGCAACGAGCGTGGCCGTGTCTGTGGGAGCGCTAGAAGCGGCATGGAAGGTGGCTGTTACGCAAACGCTGTTGCTGCATGCTGTTGGCGTGCAGGTCAATGTGTCTGGGGATGCGATGTACGCCGCGGCCCAAAACTGTCAACTTCTGGGGGCCGTGAGATTTGCCCCAATGAAGGCCTTTTACCGCCGCGAGTTAAGTTCTGTCCCAACCACCGCGCGGCCGTATCTCGCGTCGTCTCTGCAGTTTTGTATGTGCCTTGCAGAGGTCTGCATGGATCGGCTCGCCCTCCTGGAATTGGACCTGCTAGGGACATTGATGAGCGGTTACACCACTTTTTTTGTGAACGAGGTGGTTTCTACGAGGGCATATCAACTTTTTTTCAGTGGGTTCAGCAATATCGCCGTTTCCGTGTCCGCCTCGTCTTGCCCAGTAACGTTGGCAGGAGCGGCGGCGTTGGTGTGCCGCGTTAGTGTGCCCCCGGTAACTGCGGCCAGCGTGGGCACCCCACTGCGGGGCTTTGGTGAACTTCTTCCGGAGTTGCGTGACACGTCGCCATTGACGCTGGTCAACGCCTGTGAGAGGCTTTTGGCGACGGTAACTGTCCCCTGCCTCGAGGTGGAAGTCTTTCACTGCCGTTTTGCTTCCATTCGGCTGCGTGGAACAGTTTGCTCCTTCACAGCCACGCTGCCTATCGCGGTTGAAGAGTTTTGGGACGACGACGTCCGCGCGATGGAGCGCCCCTCCGTTGAGCTCGTTGTTCCCTCGGTTAAGGTAAACGCGGGTGACGCCATCCGGCTGGAGGTGGAGGGAGCCAAATGCACCATGCACTCTCTTTCCTCTCTTGGGGAAAGCAGCGTCACATTCAGCGATTATGAAGTAGATAGTGACACGTTGTCTGCTGTTGGCGAGGAGGCTGTGCGTGTCGAGGTTATGGCCTGGAAGCTGCACCTCAACGGAGTTCCGGCGGCTGACGTTGCAAGCGCGATGCTGGGTCTATGGTCCGAACTTGGGGTCATGGCGATGCGGCGCTGCGGGCGGCGCGGGCGGACGTTGGCGCGGGTGTTTCTGCTGGCGTCAACCCTGCGGGGGCTCGCGAAGGGCGCGTCCCTCTCTGGCTGCGACGGGGGCGCCGTGCCACTTTCACCGCTCCTCTCTGGTCTCGTCAGAGGGACGTTGTGTTCCGCTTTCCTCACAGGGGCGCCAAGTTTGTACTTTATTATCACGTTTTGTTTTGCTCTCTCACAGCTGGATGGGGGCTGTCTGGCTTGCTCGCGCGTCCCTCGGAGGCGGCTCTCCGCCGGCTTTTTTTGCTTTTGGGTTTCGCTTTTGTGTGCGTGCTGCGTGCCGCTCTGTCGCCCGCCCGCGTGTGGGCTGCGGTGGACCCCTCTCTCTCTTTCTCTCTCTTTTGCTGAATGTGGCTGCGTGGGGCCCCGTGTGTCTGTGTGACTTTTTTTTGCCTCTCATTCTCCTTTTGGCTCGTGTTCGGTGTTCGGC